CCTCAAGGGGCTAATTAGCCCCCTCAACCCCGCCTGCCCACCTGAGCCAGGAGGGCTGAGGGGCAGAACCAAGCCCAGCCCCCGGGGGTGGCTGGGGAGCAGCTGCCCCTAGCCCTGCAGTGGCCCAGGATAGAGCTTAGCACTGGAGGAGGCTCACCCCAGGGTGGCCGAGGCTGCCGAGAGAGCCAGGAGCAGGGTCACCCTTCTCACTGAGAGCCCTGTGCCAACCCCTGCACAGCTCTGGGTAGCGGCCCTGGTGAGCTGGCGCTCCACCCTGGGGCCTTGTCTTCCTCCCACTGGGAATTCCCAGCCTTCCCGCCTTCCTGCCTCTTCCGGTTCCCAGCCAGAAACAGGCACAGTGAGGCATAGTGACTGATTTCTTTTTAAATTCGCTCCAGCTCCAGCTAGAGCTGGCACAGACCAGGATGGCGGGACGAGTACAGATGTAGGCGCATCCCAGAGGTGCAGAGACTGCGGCGGAACAGCGCCCCTGCTGGGCCCGCCTGGTCCTTCCACAGACCTCAGCGGACCTGCTCGCTGTGGGCCACAGGTTCCCGAGCCTTGGCTGTCAGGATGGCCCTCTTCTGTGTGCCAGGCTCTGGGGTGAGGGCAGACAGGAGGCCGTCCATCCCTGCATCACCACTGACTGTGATCCCCGACCTCAGTTTACCCAGGCGTGAAACGGGAGTGCTCGCCTCTCCCATGAGGAATGGGGAGCCTGGGCTGCCCCGGGCTGGGGTCGTTCCCGCCTCCGGTAATGGAAGAGAAGCAGGCGGTGCCTACGTGCCCTCGCGGCTGCCCAGTGTGGGCACTGCCCTACTTCGGCCCCAGTTGCCAGGGAACCACTGGGTTCCTCGCTAACCTGGATTTTTCTCTTGTCGATGGGCGGCCTTTGTCTTCCTGCCGCAGCCACCGCCGAGGGAGGCCCACGTCCAGCTGTCTCCCAGCAACCCCAGCCTCTGGAGGCTGAGGGAAGTCCGCAGGCCCTGGGGCCACTGCCTGGGAAGCAGAGGACCTGCCTCCCCAGTGCCCACTCTGGGTGGGCACCTGCTCCTCCCTCCACCTCCCCTAGCCCAGCCTCACTTGGCAGGCAGCCCAGGGAGCTGCGGAGATGCAAATTGTTCCATGCCTCTCCCCCTGCTTAACCCTTCAAAGCTCCTACATGTCCAGGAGAGAGTGCTAGCTTCTGGGCTTGCAGCCGAGAAGGGTGTGACCTGGCACTGCCCACCAGCCTGCCCGGACTCCTCCTCTCCTTCAGCCTCCCGCCCCGAGATGCCCACTGTGGCTTCTCAGGTGCCTTGCCTAGGGCTTGGTGCTGACACTAAATGTAAGAGAGGACCGCCCGCGTGACGTGCCCCTGCCCGTCAGGTGTGTGCCAAGCTTCTCCACAGGGTACACATGGAGAAACTGAGGCACGCTGAGGCGTAGTGACCGATTTCTTTTTAAATTTGCTACCGGTCACGCACACTCAGTGTACATGATAGAGAGAAGAAAAGTGAGAAATTACCTCCCACTCCCCCCCCACGAGGGGATGCCCACACCACAGTCCCTTCTCCGTTCTCCCCCTAGGATTTGGGGCACACATGCACACGTGCCTGGTGTGTTTTTCAAGCCGCCAGGTCTGGGACTCGAATGCACAGTCTGCCATGTGAGATCTAGCCACCTTAACTACCAGCCGCCAGCTGGCCTGATGGCAGTTGATTTGGGGGAGGCTTACTCTGTGCCAGACTGTGTGGAGTACTGCGTGTCTTGCCCCTCACAACAGCACTCTGCAGGGATCTGCGGCCAGAAGCCAGAGCTGAGCAGAGCAGGCTGCTCCTGTGCATGTCCTGAGCTGGCCTGGCTGCAGCGTCTGCTCACGCCCTCCCCGGTGCCCCTGCCTCTGGCTCTTCCCCGTCAGCCTCCGCTCAGGCCTCTGCATCTGGGCCTAGCTGGGTGTCCTAGCAGAGTGCTGAGGACACCCTATCTGCCTCCCGGCCTGGTGCAGACATACCTGCCCAGCCTGGCCCTGGCATGGAAGGCCGCTGTGCAGGACAAGGGGTTGGGTAGACAGGTTGATGTTGAAGGTGGAGCTGGGTGGTGTTTTGAGCTGAGCCCTAGAGGGACAGTAAGGGTCGCCAAGAGCTGGGAGAGGTTTCTGGGAGGAAGTGAAGGTGCGATGTGTCTGAGGGGTAGGAGAAGCACGGAGAGCTGGTGTGTGTGTGTGTGTGTGTGGGGTGTATATGTGTGTGCATGCATGTGTGTGTTTGTGTATGTGTGCTATATGTGTGGGCTGGCAGGGCATGGGGACGCCATTCTGAGAGCGGTGGGTACTGGCCCAGGACTGAGACACTTAGGCTGCAGGGTAAGGCTGACCTGGAGGCCAGGGAGGGGCAGGGACCCTGGGAGATCCTGGGGAGTATAGGGCCCAGCTGGGAGGAGGATAGTGGGGGCAGGGGTTGGTGACCCCAGGGCTTCAGTTCTGGGAAAGGGGAAGCTGCTGGGGCTAGGCAGGGCCCAGCTTCCTCCTCTGCGGCCTCTATGGCTGCACCTCCCTGAGGCTCTGCCAGGGGCTTTCACCCAGTGAAGGGGCCTGCTGTGGCTTTGCTAGTTGGCTCTTCTCCAGGGCATTTTGGGTTCTGATTGTTCAGGCATTTTTTTGGAGGGGTCTCAGGAGCCCTCCATGACCTGTGAGCACGTGAGGGGGAGTCTCCTGTTCGGTCAAGTGGTGCAGGTCTGCAGTAAGCTAGCTCCCGGCCTGCCTTTGCCACCGCCTGGCAGGCAAGCAGCCGTAGAAGCAGCAAGCAGCTGGTTAGGAGCCCACCAGCCCGCAGTAGAGAAGGGGCGCTGGGGCACGCATGCCGTGACCCACTTCAGGCTTGGGGCTCACATGGGCCTCACAGCAGCCTTGCCTCATCCGACAGATGAGGAAGCTGAGACCATCAAGGTGAGGCAAGGCCCACGGGCAGTTGGGGGGCAGAGTAGGAGATTCGGGGTGCCCTCTAGGCTAACTTCTAGGCCTGTCCTCCCTAACCCAGTGTCGGGGACTCTCCTGTCAGAGCGGGGAACCTTGGGGAGGTCCCCGAGGGCACCAGCCTTCACCTTCTGGGGCCCCAGTCTCCCCTCTCTGGTAGGAAGCCCTCAGGAGGGCCTCCAGGACAGGCAGAGGAGTGGCCCAGGGCTTCTGCCCCACCTGCCCAGTGTGGATGCTGGAGGCCTATGGGGAAGGGAAGTGGGGCTGCAGGCAGCACTGTGTGCCCATGGGGTGGAGGGGCCTGCAGCCACATCTCAGGTGGCCAGGCAGCCAGGCTGGAGCGCACAGTCTGGGGTAATTAGCCGGCAGTGTGAGGCGGGGGACAGGCCCAAGCTCGCCCGTAGCTGAGTCGGGGCCTTCCTCCTGGCTGACTCCAGATCACAGGGCTCCGTGTCTGTCTGCAGGGGAGCAGCTGCAGGCCCCTCCCTGGAGCGCTGGTCACCCAGCAGGTGCCCAGCCAGGGTGGTGCTAGGGCCCTCTCCTGGGTGACATGGCCTCTTACTACTTACCCTGCCTCAGCTGTCTGGGCCCACCCGGGGAGCAGGGATGGGTGCCCGGGCTGGAGTAAGCCCTGTGGGATGGGAGGGCCCTGAGGAGAGGCTGGAGGTGGGAACCTGGCCTGCAGGGGGAGGGACCCTTTGGGGAAGAAACTAGGAGTCTTGTGACCAGATTTGAGGAGGGATGGTGGGGAGGAGTCAGGGTGCCATCAGCTGGGTTCTGACTGCCAGCGTGGGTTTCACTCTACCGTGTTCAGCCATTGTCCCTGGATTTTCCCTGGGATGGTCTGAGTCCCAGAGCGGCTGCCCGTGACCTGGAAAGTCCTGGGGATGATGTGGCTGTCACCTGCCCCCAGCCCTCACCCTGGCTGTAACTCAAGCCCTTGCCCTGAGCCCTGTGCAGGGCCAGGCCCAAGCTTGGGGCAGATCAGTTTCCTTGGCTCCTCTTCCAGGCCTGGGAAGCCCGGGCTACCCTGCCCACAGGGACGTGCTGTCATGTGACCCTGGGCCCACTGCAGGCGGTGCTCCTCCCCCAGACTTGGCCTCAAGAGCTCAGGGCTCCTCAGCCTGATGGGCCCGGGCCAGGGGCTGGGCTCTCTGAGCCTGTGAAACTGGAAGCCACCCTCAGGTGCCTGTGCCCACTCTCTTGTACCTGAGGCCTGGCCTCCAAGAAACATCGTGGCTTCCTCCTGATGCCATGGTCCCTTCTGCTGCCTAATCCCAGTCCTTGCTGCTATTTCAGTCTGGAGACTTCTCCAGAAGAGGCCCCAGCCTGGGCCAGCAGCCACCTTGCTTTCCTGTCTTGTGTGCCCAGGGCAGTGTCTGGCACGTTACAGGGGCTACAGAGGTGAGGAAGGCTGAGCGCCGTGGCTGCCCCGCCACGGGTTAGCACGGCCTGAGGCAGAGATGTGGTCAGACATGTCCCAGCCCTCCCTGAGACTTGTGCACAGCGGCCACGTGGAAGGACCAGGAGCCTGATAGGTTGGGGTGAGGAACACACAGGAGCTATGGGAGCCAGACCTAGCTTTAGAGAAACTGGAGAAGCTTCTAGAAAGAGAGGCCTGGGGACCAGCAGTTAGCGTAATGGCTATGTCGCTGGACTCCCATGTAGTTGACAGTGGTTCGCGTCCTGGACCCGATGACTTAAAACTCACGGTGAGCGTGTGTGCGTGCGTGCGTGCCCAAGATCCCGAGAGGAGAATGGAGGAGAAGGGATTGTGGCGTGGCCATCCCCCCATGGGGTGATTTCTCACTTTCTGACCAGCAGTTAGCGTAATGGCTATGTCGCTGGACTCCCATGTAGTTGACAGTGGTTCGCGTCCTGGACCCGATGACTTAAAACTCACGGTGAGCGTGTGTGCGTGCGTGCGTGCCCAAGATCCCGAGAGGAGAATGGAGGAGAAGGGATTGCGGCGTGGCCATCCCCCCATGGGGTGATTTCTCACTTTCTGTCTCTCTGTCTCTCTCTGCCTGGCGAGTGCACGCACCCTATAGCAAAAACCTCTCCAGAAAAAGAAAAAGAGAGAGAGAGAGAGAAAGGCCTGTATGTTGGGCTTTGAAGGGTGAAGAGAAGGGCCTTCCTTGGAGCAGAACTTGTGAGTGGATGGGCCCCAGACGGGCCTGGGTGGCAGCTCACAGCCCAGTCTGCGACGAGTCTGGGTGACTGGAGCCTGTAGCTGCAGGAGCCGCGCAGCCCCGAGCCCTCTATCCCCCTAGCCCCAGGCCCATAGGCTTCCTTCCTCCCAGGCTCCCTGCTGATACACCTGAGAGCACCTAGCTGTTTATGGAAGGGGAAGGAAGCCCTTCCTCCTCGGAACTTCCCCAGCAGACAAAGCTGAGTCTGCACTGCAGCCTGTCTGGCCTTGGGGGGGGTGGCCCAAGAACACAGAGCCACCTCTGCCCCAGCCACACCCGGGGCTGTAGAGCAGGCCGCCCCTGGCTCCGCCTGCCCACAGCATCTCACCAACTGCCTCCTCATCAGATCTTGATGCCCTCCAAGTGGCACTGAGGCCCAGCAGCTGCCTGCCTGTCCCTGTCCTGCTGAGCTGACCTCTGTCTGCCCTAGGTTGGTGATCACCCCCGGTCCCGATGATGAAGCCGTGTCTGCTGTGCTTGCCGCTGACCTGCCTCCTGGTAAGTTGTGGGGGTGGGGTGGGTAGGAGAAGGCAGAATCCTGAGCTCGGCACCCCAGCCCTCCAGGCAAGGGGTACAGATGCTGCTCAGGACCCCATGCTCGTGAGGCTTGGTTCTGCAGCTCTTCCTGGGAAGCCTCGGAGATAGGCAGATCCTTTGAAGCACTCCTGACCCACCCTGACACCAGATGATGACCCAGAAGGGAAGGCCATGGCTGCCCCACTCGGCTTTCCCAAGCCATGCCCATCCAGGCCTGGGGCAGGTGGAAAAGGAAGGACATGCTGGCATTTATGGGCAAGGCAAGCATGGCCAAAAACAAGAGGTCTGTTGTCAGGCAGCCGTGAGAACGGCAGCCCAGCTGGGAGTGCAGGTGCGGGACCTGGAGGATGATGGGCAAGAGAGGCCTAGGGTATGGAGCCTGAGAGCCCACACCTCAGATGTGGAGTTAAGTTTTGTGCTGGGGGTGTGGCAAGTGGCATAGTGGTTAAGGGTGCTGGACTCCCACATGGCTGACTGTAGTTCGAGTCCCAGACCTGGCAGCTTGCTTTCTCACTTTCTTTCTCTTGCTCTGTCCCACTCTGGTAGGTAGGTAGATAGATAGATAGATAGATAGATAGATAGATAGATAGATAGATAAAATATGTGTTGGGCCCAGGCGTGGTAGCACATGCTTCAAGATGCTGTACTCTGCAGGCTAGGACCACATAGAAACTCAGATTCAGTTCCCTTTCCAAACTGAAGGCCAGCCATGATGTCACGTGCCTGTAATTGGCAATGCGAGGAGCCTGGGGCAAGAGGATTGTGAGAGAGCAAGACTGTCTAGAAAAAATAAAAAATATTTGGGGGCTGGGCCAGCGGGTGGCATGTGGTGGTTAAAGCACTGGATTTCCACATGACAGACCACAGTCTGAGTCCCAGACCCAGCAGCTTGAAGATTATGCTGGGCATGTGCATGTGTGTATGTATACCCAAGATCCTGCAAGAATAGGGAAGGGACTGTGGTGGGGCCATCCCCTGTGGGCGGTGATTTCTCATTCTCCCCCTCTGCCTTTCTCTGCCAAGTGCATGTGCTCTATGCCAACAATATTAAGAAAAAGAATCTTGGGGCTAGCTAGTGGCTTGGTACTTAGGCAGCTGAATCTCACGTGGCTGACTGTGCAGGTCAAGTTCCAGACCCAGTGGCTTGAAAAACATACCTAGTGCATGTACGTGTGTCCCCAAAGCCTTGAGCGAAGAGAATGGAGTAGGGACTGTGGTTTGGCCATCTGCTCTGGGGGGTGCTTTCTCACTTTCCCTCTCTGTCTCTTTCCAGTGCGTGCATGGGCATGGTTGGCGATAGGTAGTAAACCAAAGAAAGAAACAAGCTGTATCAGTCTAGGGACCCCACACTCCAGGTCCTGTACTCAGAGGATCTGGCCAACGACCGAGAACCTCAGGTGACTCCAGGTTAAGGGATGTGCAGTTCAGGCAGGTCTTGAAGTCGACTGCAAGACTGGAAGCTTGGGGAGGGTGAGCCTTGGCTTGGGTTTCTCTGAGGGGTGCTCTCAGGTGCTGTGAGCAGTTCTGGGGCCTGAGGCACCCCCAGGCCTCCATGTGACGTTGTCTCCAGGGCGGCTGGCTCTGCACTATGTCTGCACCCCTCAAGTAGTTCAGGCTAAATCGGGAGGACTGGAGGTCCTCTCACAGCAGGAGAGATCGAGGGCTGACAGTCATACCTGAGAGGAAGAAGCAGAGGGAGCCCCACGGGATGGCCTGGGCACACGCGCTCAGAAAGTCCTGCTCGAATGTTCCTGCCCCGTGTGGGTGCAGGGCTGTGACGGGGTGGCCTGGCCTCAGGGAGAGGTCATGGAGGAGGATACAGTCCCAGACTCAGCTGAGGGCCCAGAATAGGAAGCACCTTGGCAGACTCGCCTCCAGGGGAAAACCAGAGGCTGGTTAACGACATGCCCAGCTGATGTGGGGAGGGGGACCCAGGTACAGGAAGAGGGCTGGAATATGGGAGAGGAATTCGAATTAGGAAGCATCTCCTCCTCATTCTGATTAGCTGGAAGCTGTGACTCACCCTTCCGGTTACCCGGAAGGGGTGTGACTCAGACCCCTGGGCTCAGGTCTGTCCAACCCTGCCCGGGGTTTTCCAGCACCTTCCAGAGCAGATGTGGTTCTTTC